TAGCATGCAGGCTTTGTCTCAGTTTTCTCCCTTGTACAACAGCTACTCTTCGTGTAAAGATGTGTGGAATCATTATGGAATTAAAAGAGCAGGCAGACTGGTGAAGATACAGGTTATGTTAGAATCTGCTCCTGAATTTAATTTTTTTTCCACATTTCAAAATTCATATAAAAATCATGTGGAGGTATGAGCTGCTGTTTGTCATATGTATATTTTTGAAGTTTGCATCTGGAGGTCCTGTCAGTGTATTGGTCAGAGTAGTCTGCTATGGTAGCTGGGAGGCTTTTTAAAAAAACAAAAGTGAGGGAAACAGTCTGTTTATCCCAAACCACTGCAGAACTGTTACCTCTGAACTGCCTTCTACCAGTGTATGGGAAAGCTGGGTCACCTTAGAATCCTATACTGGAGGTGTGTGGGGGCACTCTGCATTGCATGCCATTGTTGTTGAGAAGTGTATAACAGCCACATCCTACTGATTTTGCTGATTTTGAGATTGCTTTCTTTGACTTGCTAAACATATTCATCAGCCTCACTCAAACAATGAAGCTGTTGAAACTACGGAGGAATGTTGTGAAACTTTCTCTTTATCGGCACTTCACCAACACTCTTATCTTGGCAGTAACAGGTGAGCTCCTGATTTTATTTTCAGTAAACAGCATGCTTGCGCTCTGAATTATCAGACTGGTTTGATTTCCTAAAGCTAGCCCGTGCCTCAATATATTGGCCTTTCTTTTATACGTAATGCCATTTCTGTGGTTGTTATTCTTTAATATTCAAACTTGGCTTGGGTTTCTGTGTGGCTTTTCTTGCTCCCTGAGGCACTCCAAATCAGTGTGCATACGGGTAAGATTAATAGTTCTGTGCCAGTTCTTGTTGTGGCCCCCTCCCCACTCGCAAATGCTTCCTTATGCTTTGTTGGCAGCTGCATCCCAGGCTGATGTCTGCTTTGTTCCCAAGATGAGTAATAGCTTGTTCCAAAACTGCTGTACAAGTGGGTTCCGATTTGCTAGGGGAGTTTAAGATGTAGTATGATTCCACAATCCTGACACAGTCTTTGCTTCCATACTTTCTTCCTCAGTCAGGCTAAGAGCAGATCCCTGAAAAAGGTATTAAACAAACAAAATTCTTCTGTTCAGTTTGGAAAACTGAACAGGCTGTCTAGGTTTGGAAAACTGGAACTGCAACTTTGTATCCACTTCCAGTAAATAAAATAAACATTTGAATATGAAAGATAAACCTGTTAATGCTATTAGGTTCTCAGTTTCTCTCACCATAACCAGGCAGTGAGCATATTCACTTTTAACTCTTGTGTAAGGAACAAGCTGTTTCAAAAGGTGTTTTATAAAGTGTTTTACTTGCATAGATGGCTTTGATTGAAGTTCTTGGCAACATCTGACTAAGCTACTGCAAAACTCAACTAATAAGAAAAATAACCATTCTTTGAACCTTACTGTGGGGTGAGCCCATTTAGTTCCAGCATTAAAATTTCAATGTGGGTCAGGCTAGTAGGAATGGTGGCGTGGGTGATATTGTTACTTAATCATTTCTACTTGTTGTCTGGTCATAGAGTTCTAGTGTTTGAGTGCCAAGATCCTAGTTTGTCTTTAGATAATAGAAAGAAACATGAGACTGGAAAAGGAGATATGAGGTTTTACTAAGTCCTTTTGACTTGAAGTATATTTTGTTTGTGAAGGGTGGGTAACATATAGTAATATAGGCTTCAGGTTTGAAATACCTCGCCTTCCTGTAATAAAGCCAATTTCTGACTGGGTCAACTCAAATTGTAATTTGGGGAGGATACTCTATGAAGGTCTGTGGGACACGCAACCTTTTAAAAACAAGGTCTTAATAGTACTGTAGAAACATTAGTTTCTTTGATTTCTCTGCGTGCTTCATTGAGGCTTCCAACTCGGTCATGTAGTACATGGGGTCCTAACTGGTTGTTGGCATGGATGCCTGAGGTCACTATTCTTCACTGGGCAGGAAGTGCAGTTTGTAAAGAGCTGTGGTTTTCATGACCAGGAAAAGCAGTAAATAAAACTTAAACCCTTTGTTTTCTCTAGAATCATAAAAATAGATATGACCCACTAAAAAGCTTCTGCAGTCGGGGAGGAGACAGGGAGTGGTAGGGGAGTCCTTTCTTATAATGTCTCAGACATTATAAGTGAGAGTATGCTTTGGGGAAAACAAGAACATTTTGACTTCAGCTCTTAATTTCAAGTGATTTAAATTTAGCCAATGAGAGATGATTGGCACAGAACTGCACTGACCCTTTGTGAATGGAAAACAAAGATACAAAAAAGAAAATACATAGTAAACTGTGGATGTTTAAGAGCTTTTTGCTTATGAAACTCTGAGGAAGTGATTGCTTGGTGCTCAGGTATTCTAGTGATAGGTATACAGATACTCAAGACAGACAATTTGAGATATAAGGCTTTTGTGTATTTGAGTGGAACAGCAACATTCTTTGACCAAGTGTTCTTTCTTATCTTCAGCTTCCATTGTATTTATCATTTGGACCACCATGAAGTTCAGGCTAGTGGATTGTCAGTCGGTGAGTTTACCTGTCATTAAGTGGGTTTCCATGATTAGAACTTCATTTATAAGTTTATACTTTTAGGTAAGAGGGGGTGGTGGCCGAAAAGGACTCTTTCTGTTGAGTCTTCTGTATGTAGAGGAGTGCACCTCAAAGTGTTAATGCATCAATATTTACACTGTTAGGGGAAGCCATTTAGTACAGAAATTCAACTTCATTCTTTGTATGATGTTTGCCCATCTGTGGAAGGAGGACTTGTATGCACTTTGTTCCTGGTTTATTTTGGTTTTTTTAACCTGTGGCACTCCTCTGCTTGACAGGACTGGCGGGAGCTGTGGGTGGATGATGCCATCTGGCGGTTATTATTCTCAATGATACTTTTTGTCATCATGATTCTGTGGAGGCCATCTGCCAACAACCAAAGGTTTACTCTCTCTTACCTCTTTCTTTTTTTTTTTTCTTTTTTTTTAGTACCATTTGAGCAATGTCTGTTTGTTCAAAGAACATTTCTAGAATTTTTGGTGTACAACCAGTTGCTGTATCTATATCCAGGGTTTCTGAGCAATATGTGTACGGATTGGTGGAAAAACATGGTTAATGTCATTCCTTCCTGATCTCAGAAGTGGAAGCTGCAGTTGAAGAGGATGCATGGATTCTCCCTTATGGCATAACCATTTAAAAAGATAAATGAATACTGAGCTTACCTTATAGTTGAGCATTAATCTAATTTATAATCACTGTACTGTGAAGAGCAGTCAGGTGATACAAATTGTTGAGATGAGAAATCTGTTAAAAATAATGTAAAAATATTTGCAATTTCTGAGTATCATTCTTATGATGTCTATTTCTTTTCCTCTAAAGGTTTGCTTTCTCACCATTGTCTGAGGAAGATGATGATGATGAACAGAAAGAGCCAATGCTAAAGGAAAGCTTTGGTAGGGACAGAATCCTGATATTTCTGTTTTTTGAGATAAATCTAACTGCTGATTTGACAGCCCTGGGGAGTGAAGTCTTCTGTTTTCTTTAAAATCAGGAACATGTACAGCAGTGTAAACTTCCATGCTGTCACTGCTATACTTTTTCTTAGCATTAGAGGAGAACAACTAGTAGGTATTCAGTTCAGTCTTTTACATGTCTTCCAACCATGGACTTCTCAGATGAACCTGGCTAGTGAGAGTGTTAATTTAATGGTTGCTTTGTCTTGTGTAATCCTTTTCCAGAAACTGGACTGAAACCAACAATTTACTTCATGTAGGCCATCCTCCCTTAGATGGTAGGGTCTTTTTGATGCTACTGCTAGACAGATTAAGGTTGAGTTTTCTTCGTCTTTTTTTTTTTTTTTTTTTAAATGTGAATTAGATGTTAGATGTCATTCCTTGAGCCCTTCAGTTCTAATTATTTCACTTATCAGAAAGATCTAAGGAAGAGAAGAGGGAAATTGACACTACAGGAACAAGGAGATTACGTTCAATGTAAACTGAACAAGCAGACCATTTTTTCTCTTACACAGAGGTGTTTATCTATTGAACTTATTTGCTTGTCATATACATACATTATTTTTTCCCCTCTGTGTCCCTACAAAATTACCAGTATTCTTTGGGACTTGAAAAGGGGCTCTCCACTTTAAATAAACAGCATGCCTTTCTCTCCCAAGTCATTCTTCGGCTTAAGCTGACTATTCCTACAGCATAAATCCATCTATACTCTATATGCTGGCCTAGTTTAATCACTCAATTTTATTTTTTCTTTCCTTTGCAGAAGGGATGAAAATGAGAAGTACAAAACAAGAGCCAAATGGGAATGTGAAAGCAAACAAAGCTGTGAGTGTGCTGTTTCTACCTTGCTAAAGATTTCACAGTAAAGACAAATCCAGCTCTTTCAGGTGTCTGCCACTTGTGTAGGATCTCTTCAAGAGTAGGAGAAAGGGAGAAGGAGAACAGAAATTCCATGGACTTGCCAAGATGGTGGGTTGGGTCTATGTAGCAAGTGTGCTTGTGACAAGAGTGTAAGCATGCAATTAGCTTTCTGGTAAGTCAGACCTTGTCATGTACTTTGATCATTTGTGTATTCCTTGCATCTGATGCAGCAGGTTCTTGCCTGTGAAATTTCATGCTGCTCTGAATCACTGTCTCCAAGGTGCCACCCTGCCTACCTTCTGCTTAATATAGTCTTTGTGACTAACCTCTTGGGTTCTGAGATTTGCATCAAAATGGAACGTACAGAGGCTGAATTGAATTTGGAAGGAATTTACGCTGTTTGGCTTATGCCTCCGAATCCTGTATGCTTGGTCAGCCTCTTTGGTGTATCTACAGCCACTGGAAGTGCTTTTATGTCTTTTGTAGGTCCAGCTAAAGTATTTGCATTTTTCACTTTAAGTTGGATTTATACAAAGCTGCTTCTGAGAGAACTGTACTTTTGTTAAAAAATACTTATAATGTTTAGAATCCATGATACCATCAGAAATCTCTTTGCCACTATCACAGACTTTGATGTTCTAGAGTTGGTAAGCAAGGGCATACTTAGATCAAGTAAAGGTGACAAAGGCCACTACTACTAGAAATGGTCAGTGCTCAGACACTGAAAGAAATAGATTCATAGACATTAGGGCTGGAAGGGACCTCGGAAGATCATCAAGTCCAGCCCCCCGCCCAAAGGGCAGAAAGTCAGCTGGGGTCATAGGATCCCAGCAAGATAAGCATCCAATTTGCTCTTGAAGGTGTTCAATGTAGGTGCTTGAACCACCTCCAATGGCAGGCTGTTCCAGACCTTGGGGGCTCGGGCAGTAAAGAAATTCTTCCTTATGTCCAGCCTGAAATGGTCTCACAGTAGTTTATGACCGTTCGACCTTGTCATCCCTTGGGGTGCTCTGGTGAACAAACGTTCCCCCAGATCCTGGTGGTCACCCCTGATAAACTTATAGGTGGCCATCAGATCACCCCGAGCCTGCGCTTTTCCAGGTGAAAGAGCCCCATGGCGCTCAGCCTGTCGTCATAAGGTCTGTTTTCCTGACCTCTCATCATGCACGTGGCTCTTCTCTGGACTCTGTCAAGCTTCTCCACATCCTCTTTGCATTGTGGAGCCCAAAACTGGACACAGTACTCCAGCTGCAGCCTCACCAAGGCTGAGTACAAG